GCAAAGAAATTTTTACGTAGGAAACAAAAAATGAAAACAATATAAAAGCAATGAGACTTGTCAAACTTCAATAACAACAAAATAAAAATGATAAATTACGAGCAAGTAGTCCTTGTAGTTTGCTCTCTGTAGTTTTAATTGACTGAATTTTAATCCTAGATTTTGAATTATGTGTCATTTTGGTCCAACTAAAAATTTAGGTTAAGAAACATTGGATGGAAAATTAGCATGTCATGTGATTGGTTTTCAAGGGCAAAATAGACATTTCATTCTCCCCTGTCTTTCATCTCCTTCCTCAGTCACAAACAGAGCCACCAACCCACCACCGTTCCACTGCCATTAGGAGCCGGCAACCAAACAACAATCCCAACATCCATTTTATATCTGCAAGACATCATAACTATCGAAAATTATAAAACAAAATCCAATTTCCAACCCTAACATAAAAATCGGAACACAAAACAAAACTAACATAAAAATCCTAGCTACCTTTGCCAATTATTTTCAAAAGTATTATTATTATGTAGCCCTCTTTTGGATCCCAGAAAAATGTTGGGTTATGTGTCTCATGAAGAGCTTTGGGAAGACAATTGTAGCAAGATTTAATATATATATTATGAGCCATTACTTTACATCTCATTTGGGACATCTAGACAAGATATATAGTTATTATTTATGGCGCCTCATAAATAAGAGTTCAACTTATACCATTCTGTCATGCTCAGAACCGGATTTGACATATATATTTATTTGTATTTTTCATAGCCATTCATAATCTCGTGCTCTTGATTGGTTGTTTTTTATTTTTATTTTATGTGTCGATCTTCATTTCTTAGTTCAAATAAAATGATACGAAACATGATACCAGCAAATTAAGTGTTATGAAGATAATTTTTTATATGCATATTACCTATTTACCTCTTGTAAACTCTCTCTATTGTGAGTGGGAGTTTTGTACACTTATAAAGTAATTAGCATCTATGTTTTTTCGGCTGTGAAGCTGTGACTTTTAGGAAATGATTGCATGGGTTAACAAATAATAATAATCGTAATATATAAAAGAAAGAAAGGAAAGAGAAACTATTAGCCAACACCAATAATTGGGACGGACACTAAATAAATAGTTGAGATGAAAAATCAACATATGAAGCATTAAAGTAATTAGTAAAAAAACAATTTTAATGATGTAATTTTCAAAATTAGCTGCTAAATTCAAATGGGTGCTCATCAAGTGCTCGAAAAACAAAAGCAAATGGGGTAATGATTTCCACAATAGTAGGTTGTTTGGCACAAAAAAGTTATCTCATATTAAAAAATATTACATAGAGAGAGAGAGAGAGAGACAGAGAGCATCATTTAGGGTTGTCCTAGTGCTGGGATCTAAGACTCCAAAGGCAATCTAGTTGATAGGTTAGACTTTTTTTTTAGTGTTTCCCCCATTCAAACTGTCATCTCTATGTTCACTTCCCAGGCAATCTAGTTGATAGGTTAGACTTTTTTAGTGGATCTTATGATTTTATAGATATGATAGGTCCTATATTTATACATATGGTTCGTACGTAGGAGGTAAAAAGAAAGGGGGGTAAATATTCATGTATCATTGTCTTAGTCATCAAACCAAGACATACTCTCTGAGGATGAACTGTCTAGTACAAAATCTGACTCCATTTTCATTTGGCAGACTTAGCTCTAACAGCATTACACTCTGGTAGGGACCTCCCCATCAACCATAACTCAGTTGTACCAAATTTGCAGTCATGTGTGAAGAAATTGTTTCTCTAGTCGATTATAGTCGATTATAATTGCCTTAACAAAATCTGATCTGTTCGTCTGCTATCAGTCCTTGTGCTAATATCTTGGTGCTAGTCTGGTAGGTTATGGTGACTATTAAGAGGGTGTGATTGTTGAACTAATCTGTTGGTAGTCTGCTGTTAGCGGCTAAGAAGCTGAACTAATGTGATAGTTGCCGATCTAATCTGTGGGTAGCTTGCTGATCTAGAGCAAGCTGTTAATGTTGTTTTTGCTAAGCTCATCAGTGGCTGCATGTAGTGGTTGTGTTGTTGGTTGCTTTGTAGTGGTTGTGTTATACTACAACTGTGAGTGGGAATCCATGGTTGATGTCTAAGGTTTTGTTAATAATTATATGGCCTTGGCAATATTTTTTGTTTTCAATTTATGGAATGTTTTTCCCCTATAGGGCAGTAGTTAGAACTTGCGGTTTGATGTATAGTTGTTGTCGTCTTAGAAGCAAAGGCTTTCTACTATTGGCTTCTTCATGCATGGATCTCACACACTTCTTGATAATTATGTTCTTCTGTATGTGAGTTTTATTTGTAGAGTTGTTAAACTATTGATTTTCATGTGCAAAGGCTTAATAAGAAGACTCACTTCTTCCAATCTTAGAGAATTAGAAATTATTTCATTTCCTGAATATTTTATTTCATTCTTTGGAGGCTGATGAATACTTTCTTAAACTATTTATCTGCTATGCTTCACCTAACCTAGTTTTGCTGCCGAGTGAAAACTTTGACTAAACTATATTTCGCACTATTTTTTTAATCTTTATTTCTTCTGAAATAAGCAGTAAGTAATGCTTAGATTGCTTATTTGAGAGAACCACTGTTCACCATTGCCCTTGGCAAGTGAAACTGTTGGCTATTATTTCTTTTGTATTCTTCTTGACAAGCCCAATAAAACTACTATGACCCTTGGTGCATCTATTTCAAGAATAGTGAACTCCTTTCTGAAAGTGTGTTTTGAAAGAAAGGGATAATACCAACGTCTATGAGGATTTTAGAATGTTGTGGATTTTATCGGTGGTGTTTTTTGTAACTGTTCTCTTTTAATGATATTGAATAAACTAGTTCGTAATATATTTCACATTATTTTGTGGTTAAAAGGATCATGGGCTTAAGTTTTAACTTTTTAGGCTGTTAATTTGCGTTTAGTGTGAAAGGGAGTCTCTAGTTTGGTGAAAATACGGAATCTGTGACTTTCAATCTAGGGATTATGAACTTCACTTTAATTACTATGTTATGTAGATGATCGGTCTATTGGCATCAAATCAGCATGAAAGTCATGGCTGGGGAATTTGAAGTCAGAAACTGACGTAGGATTAAGTTTTTAGACACAAATGTAACTACTAGCACAAATTTGGGGCACTAGAGCCTAAGGCCAAAACATCAAGCATAGATAGATTAGGCATTGGGTCTCCAAATTCATGTTTGTTGCTCACCCTGATGCAGAGTGTCCAAATTTTTTTTTTTTAATTTTACAATGATGAAAGTAACAGGTTTTTTGTTAACACGACTAAGCACTCAAGTTTGTGTACTTCTAAGGCTTCTATTCAGCAGCCACAATTGGAAATTCTGTTAAAAAGGTCCTAAAATTTAAGTTAGACCTGATTTGTCACTGAATGTTCAATTATCTTGGAGGAACATGATTTTCACTTATAATCTTGATAGACAAATTTATTGCTCAGTTATAATCTTGATAGACAAAACTATTACCAAGCTATTGATTGAAGACTGAACCAGATCAAGAATATGTCTTTAGTTATTGAGTAGGAAAATTAACTTGGAAAGTAATTGTTACATTAGCAGAAGTTTGTAGCTTTCTAAAAGGTGTCAATTTTCTCTACAATGTTTTCTACTACATCTCCTCTAGATTTAGAGATGGAAGTACAACAATTGGCATCTCCTCTCCTCTAGTTTTAATAATGGGATGAAAAAGGTAAAGAGCTATGCATCAGTGCTTTGCTTTTTTGCATGCGTGAGACACCTAAAAAAAGTATTTGACCACCTTTTAAAAGTATTTGAGTCACATAACTAGATTGTCAAAAAAGTCTCATTAATTATATCTCCAATGTTGCTGAGGTTTTTTTTCTGTAATAGTTGATGAATCAGAAAAATGTCATGTTACATTTTTTACTACATAATACAAGTGAGATGCAAATAGATTTATAGAAGCTTGTGATCTGAAGAGATGATGTTAAAAAAATATCCTGTTACATTTTTTTGCTTAGGAATGACCTCTGAAGAGATGATGCCTATAAAAGCTTGTGATCTGAGGGTACTGCCTTAGATTTATAGAAGGTTGGTTATGTCAACAAACTTCTTGGATGTTTTAGATTGTCTAAAAAGTCTCATTAATTAACAAGATTGTCAAGAAAATCTAATTTCATTAACAAGAACTGTTGAGGATTTCCTTTTAACTGTAATTTAAAACAATGAGAAGAGAAGCAGAGCAGACCAACCAGAGGTTTAAGAAAACAAAAGAGGGTTAAAAAACCAAAAGAAAGGTATATAGATGTTTTTTGTTATAATTGAAAAAACATAAAAGGGTAAGCGGGAAAACTATTCCTGTGGCTGTGTTATGGTTTATTTGGAAACAGAGGTATGGCAGCATCTTTAATGGCACAAAACCAGATCTGGTGGAGCTGTGTGAGGTCATCAAACTCACGGTTGCTGCTCTGAATTAGCTCACTCTGTTTTGGTTCTTCATGAGAATCCCAGTTCTGATGTTGTGGCCTACTGCTGCATAGAGTTAGAAATGCCTACTGCTGTATTGTTTTGGGGGACTGCAGCAGAGGGGTTTCTTGCTGAATTGTGTTGGTTCGGTCTTCTTTTGCAATTGTGGATATTTTAATAGTGCAAGGGGTGATTGTTGCCATTGCTTGATCCTTAGGAATGTGTTTGCCATTGCCATTGCTTCACCCATAATAGTCAAATTACATGACAGACTATTTATTAAATGTGTTCTTTCTTTTATGAAGTGACGTTCTTTTTCATTAAATTATGCACGTCGCCGTAATTAAATATCACAGTAACTACATATTTTCAGCATTCACATTACATAATTGCAAGTTTCTTATTTGGTCTTGCAGCAGCAGCATCTTCATTTCTTGCTTTCAAATCTGAGGCAAGGATATAGTAATTATCCACATCTCATTTACCTCTATTATTTTTAATTTCTCTTACAGTGACTTAATTTTCTTGCAGGTATGAACATTCGACAGGAAGAGAAGCTGTGCTTGAAATGCTCCATGCAATTGTAATCAAGTTCCCAAAAGCCATTATAGGTGAGCATTCCCAGACCATATTTGTTCATTTGGTGGTTTGTTTGGCTAATGACTATGACAACAAAGTCCGCTCCATGACTGGCGCTGCTGTAAAGCTTCTGATTGGGCATGTGAGCCCGCAGTCACTTCATTCCATTCTTGAGTATAGTCTCTCTTGGTACTTAGGTGGAAAGCAGCATTTATGGAGTGCTGCAGCCCAGGTAAAGTAATCAAAACTGGTCTGCAAGTTGTATATTTTGCAGATTTTTAGCTAGCATGTGTGAGCCTGCATTCACATTAAATTTTGACCATATGCAAATTAAACACATTAAAGTTTGATCATATGCTTTAACAGAAGTGAAAAAATTACATTAATTTTTGAAAAAAGACCGAAGGATATAACATCAAACATGTTTTTGTTTTTTTCTAAGAGAATTCGAAGTGGGAATTGGGTTTTGTTTACTGTTCATTCGCATGTTTTCACTTGATTTGGTGAAGGTGAAAACATCCTTTTTGTGTTGTCATTTTTTGAACCTTGTATTGAAGACAGATTTCAAAAAAATTAAAAACAAAAGCAAGCACCAAACATATTTTTCTGTTGTGTTTTCAAAATTTTTGAAAACAACAACATGAAAACATGGAACACAACTGGAACCAAACGGGCCCTTAATAATTGGATGCTGAATGTGATGGAATCCATATTCACCTCCCTCCCCTTGTCCCCTGTTTCTCTCTTGCACACACATTCTTTGTATAATTATGCAGTAGTATGAACTCTGGAATCTAATTTGAGTCATGAATAGCAAGTTGTGTGTTTGCTTTCTTTGCTTTGAAGTTGTACTATATGGGTTTTGTTTATTTGTTTTTTGGCTTTAAAACATTTTTGTGTAGGTCTTGGGATTATTGGTTGAAGTAATGAGGAAAGGCTTTCAAAAACATGTCAATGGTGTGTTGCCAGTGATGAGAAGCATTTTCCAGTCTGCTATCAATGTTCTTACAAATGGACAGCTAGATCTTTCTGTTGAAGCTACAGTTCCCTTTTGGAAAGAGGCATATTACTCACTAGTCTTGTTGGAGAAGATACTGCATCAGTTCCATGATTTGTTCTTAGCAAAGGATCTTGAGGTATAAGCCTATTCATTGTATGTGTCTACGTGCATGATAATTATTTCCTTCATTTCTGTGTATATTTATTCTATATTAAAATGTTTGTAACACATGCAACATAGCATTTCAAACCTTCGTGAGAGTGAGAGCCATCATTTTTTGGGATAAGGCTGTAGGTGGGGTCGTATTGGTAGCCTGAAAACTACTTTAATTAACAAAAGAGAAGGGCTGTCTGGCATGGGGACTAATTGAAGTAATGAGCCTTCCAATATTGGGCTGGCAATTTGAACCAGTTTTGTGGGTCAGTTTGATGAGTGTAACAATTAACAATGACCTGATCACCTTGTCTTGAATCATAAATTATTGCTAAATGCATTTGCAGTACAATTCCGTGGTTAATTATAAAGTATATTTGGGCAAAATCCACTTTTCTCCTCATCCCCTGCTGTGGATTTGCCCATTTGCATTGCACCTCCCAAACATTAAAAAATAACAAAAATTGCCTTATGTGGTTTTGGGCCCTTTTGTAGTTCACATCCTTATTGTTAAGAATTTCGTCTAATTTGATGAAAATTGGGGCTTCGGTGAGGGGCTTTGACTGCAATGGGGGATTTGGCAAACTCTTCAATTGCGATGGATGCTTTGATATCCAGGGCTTCGACAAAGGCTGTGATTGTGGTCGCTGAAGCCTTCAATCTAGGGTTTCAATGAGGCTGGCAACAATCGCAATGACGGGTTCACTCTATCTATGATTAGTTTCATTTAATAAATTCTTTCTTTTAGGAAAAAAAAAATGTCAGAAAGAAAAACAGTTGTGTGGTGCCATGTCCTGCCTTGTCCATCAAGTGTTTGGAATTTGTTTTAAAAATAACAAAAATCAGATACCCTTTTTTGCTTGTCAACAACATATCTGGATGCATCCATGCCCCATTCATCTGGGACACTGATACGTGACCTCATGCAACGTGTCGGTATTTCATAGTAGGTAACTAGTTGCCCCAAAAGTTTACTGGTGAATCTAACATCTCTTTAGCATGGTTTGGGTAGTTGGGCTGTCTTGGATTCTGGGGAAGTATCCTAATCCTACATAAAATCAAAAAGATCATTTGTAAACTAATTGCTAATATTTGGTACCGTTTTCCTTTCATTACTGAGTTTTTGATGGGCTTATTTTTTCTTCATTTTTTTTTTAAAATTCTAATTTTAATTTACAGGATATATGGGAAATGATTTCAGAGCTTCTGTTGCACCCGCATATGTGGTTACGTGATGTATCGAACCGCCTGGTGGCCCTATACTTTGCCTCAGTAACTGAGGCCAACAGAGAAAACCATGAAAAGTCACTAGAAACAGTTTTTCTAATGAGACCAAGTAGACTTTTTCTCATAGCTGCATCTCTCTGCTGCCAATTGAAGGCCCCACTAATTGACAACACTGCCAGCACCATAGTTACACAAAACCTCAGCTTCACAATTTGTGGAATACATTCTTTGTTAGTACCAAAGAAATGGATTGATGGCCAAAGTTTTGGGTATACCCTTGAACACGATGAGGAAGGTTGTTTCCTCAAAGCTTTTCAAAAGCTTGACTCACGAAAAGGAAGAAGTATGTTTGCATCCCTCACATCTGGTGATAATAATCAAAATGATCAAGAAAATAGTGGTCATCATCAATCTTTGCTCGTCTCTTACCTGCTGAAGAGAATGGGAAAGATTGCCCTTCAGATGGAGGCTGTTCAGGTGGGTCTGCTAGACAGTGGCTTCTCTGAGAACTGTTCTGAGTTTGCTAAGCTTATTGAGTAATATATTATATTGAATAAATTGGATGGATTATTATAAATTACAGGTTTATTTTGTTGGATGTTGGCGACCAAAATTTGGTTTTGTTTTTATAGTTTTGGCGACCAATTGATTAGTCGCGAAATGTCACAATTGGCGACCAAACTAATTTTGGTCGCAAAATGTCACAATTGACGACCAAAATTTTTGGTCGCGAAATGTCACAATTGGCGACCAAACTAATTTTTGTCGTGGAATGTGACAATTGGCGACTAAAAAATTTGGTCAGCAAAAGGCAACTTTTCGCGACCAAAATGTTTTAGCGACAAAATGGATTAGTCGCAGTAAATAAATATTTAACGATCAAAAATTTAGTCGGCAAATGTAACTTTTCCCGACCAACGAAAATTTTGGTCGCGAATTACTTTTGCCGACCCTCAATTGGCGACCAAACTAGCGACAAAAAAAATTGGTCGCGGATAACTTTTGCCGACCAAAAATAGACTTTTAGCGACCAATTTTTTTGTTGCCAAAAGCGTTAATTCTTGTAGTGTATTATTGTAATTATTAAAAAAAATTATACATATATGGTGATTGCATGTTTGCAATTAAGAATTGTGGTGTGAACTCTCTGCTAAGGCAATCAATCTACTGGGAAGTTATGTAGGTGCACTATCTCACATCGCTTTGTAAAATATCACAGCTTTACTACATTAGTAGACTAACTCCCTTAGACTAGTATGAGACATTTTAAAACTGTAAGGGGTTAGTTACTAGTTTTCGCCTAAGTCCAAAGCGAACAATATCGTGCTAATCGAAAAATGTTAACTGCTTTAGTCAAAAAAAAATTTCCCAAATTAATTATAATTAGGACCACGTTTGTTCACCCTAATAATGTGAATTATTATCTTAGTTAATAAAAAGTTATGCATATGTAGCGATTGCACATTGGTGATTAAGAATAGAGCATTAATATTTAAGACCAAAAATTAAATTCAATTTTCAAGTTCAGTGATATGGCAGTAAATTAGAATATAAAAAATTTCAAGTTTAGTGATGTGACAATCAATTAGAATATTAACGTTGTGTTTGGTTAGGGGATTTGGGACAGATTTAGAAATGTAAAGGGAAAATGTGTGTGAAATTAAGTGAAATGTAAGTATATTTTATTCACATTTCACTTATATTTTCTCTTTCTCTTTCCAAATCTCTTTTCAAATCCTCCAACCAGACACAACGTAGAGGTAGCATTCTTTCTCATATTTTCTTCTAATCATCAATCAATCATATTATATACACATTATTGGGTCTAGAAAATAAGTCTATAAAGTAGAGTTGTATATCATTTTCCTTAAGGATATGGTTCTATATTAGGTTGAATTGAAATTTGTACTATTTTTCAAATTAATTATAGAACGTTAATCACGTTCGTCAACTGTAATAATGCGAATTATTATCTTAATTAAGAAAAAGTTGTACATACACTACAACAAAATACACTTTTGGTGACCAAAATTGGCAACTAAAAGAAATTTAGTCGCCAAAAGTTGTGGAATTGGCAACCAAAATTTTTTTAAGTCGCCAAAAGTACAATATTTTTCTAATAATTTTTTTTAGTTGGGATATATTGATTATTGCCGACTAAAAAAATTTAGTCGCTAAAAATACCATAATTGGGGACAAAAAAAAATTTAGTTGCCGTATATTGAGTTTTGGCTACCAAAATCATTTAGTCGCCGAATATAAAATAAAAAATTATTTTTTATCTTTGGCGACCAAAAGTTTGGTCGCAAAAACATATTATCAACGACAAAAAATTAGTCTAGTCGCCATATATTGCGTTTTGCCTACTAAAATTATTTAGTCGCCGAATATAAAATTAAAAAATTATTTTTTATCTTTGGTGGCCAAAGTTTAGTCACCAAAAACTAAAATATTTGGAGGGATTTATTTCAAATTTTGGAAGGATTTTATAAAACTAATTGGCGACTAAATGAGATTTAGTCGCTAATGATGTAATATATATATATATATGGTTTTATACCACAAACAGCGCCTCCGTCTCTCTCTTCACGTTTCTCTCTCTTCCTCTCTCTCTCCGCTGCTCCTCTTCCCCTCTCTCACCGCCGCTCCACTAGCCGCACCTCTGCCGCTCCTCCTCGCCGTCGCGGGCAACCAGAGCACCGATTCACCTAGATTTGTCCTATTTTCTCTCTCTAAACTCCATAGCCAATCATGAAATTCAGATCTACGCGACACTACCCATTTCAAATCTTCCATTGAGCTGAGCTTCAATGGCAAATCTCGTGGGTCTGGTGGTGGTGATTTTGGGTCGATCAATAGTGAGTATTTCCAAGAAACGGCCCAAGAAGCTCCATGGAGAATCCACACGCTGTTCTCTGTGGAGTGCCACAGCTACTTGTTCAGGTTTAGTTCAATTCTTCAAAAAGTGGTGCTAGATCTTTATATGTGTTTTTATTCTCATCAATTTGGTATATAATTATGTTTTGTTGTTCTTTTTTTTGGTGTTTATCCCTATCTATATATAGAAAAGAAGGAATAAAACATATCTGATATTCATGCCTACCAGGTATTTGACAAAATGCCTTAAACTATGGTGGTATTGATTAAAACATATCAGAATTGTTTTTCTGCAATTTAATAGACTGGCAAAGGTATTAGTTAAAAAGTGGACTAGTATGGATAAATTTTTTTGGTTTAGGCGTTTCTTAAAAATCAATTCTTGGGTTTGTAGCTCCTTTGTGTTAAGAGTTCTTAAAGGGCTTTGTGTTCACATATTAGGCTCCAAACCCATGGCTCATTCCAAAAGGTACTAATATTTTGCTTTACATCTGTATATAGAAGGTAAAAAAATGCAATAGAAAATGGTGTCTGTCAAAAATGAATTTTATGCCTAATTTGTTGTCATTATCCTTGTCGTTCCACTCTAGCACCAATTCCTAATTTATTAAGACTTGAATGCATATAGATTCTGAATTATGCAGATACAATAGAGACACAACTAGTTCTTCGTATTGTTTCTGTTCTATTTTTTTAGACCCATATATGTCTGCTTAATCTTAGCAGGCGTACTTAGATTTGCAAAGTACATAGTAGCTGACCTTAGTGAGTTGAATTCCTTTATGCAACAGTATGGTGTATCACCAGAAAGGTTTGGAGAGTACAAGGAACTATGTAGTTTCTTCAAGGTCTTAACAACTAGTGCAGATTCAGATAATAAGGTATTGACTACAGGCAATTTGTTATATTTTATCAATTATCAATGTATATGATATTCCAACTAAAATTTTCTCTATATGAATTATCAATTGATTATTTATTTTTATCAATAAATAAGTTTTACTCTCCAATGTTTTTTTTTCCTCCCTATATAGTTGAACATTCTAAATTTAGAACATTTATTTGTATCAGGTCTATGTCTCCACAGTCCATGCACACAATTATCCTGTTACTGCCTTCCAATGGCATCCAGAGGTACTATCTTTGAAGTGCTTCTCATCATATTTGTATTGGAAATGTGAGATTCATGATTTTGTTTATTGGATGTTGTCCTGTGTTGTTCATTAGCCATTATTGTCATCACTATTTTTGATCTAGTTATGTTGACCTCCTTGTGTTTTGGAAATGACGCCAACCTTTCCAGTCAGTGTGGAGACTATGCTAATGGAGGGAACTAATTAGCTCACTTTTTAATTAGCTCCAATTGTTTACACTTGCTAATTGATGCATAGGAATGACACTTTTTATTGATGCATATCACCTCAAGCCCATAATGAGACAGACAATGATGGTATGGATTAGTTTTGTATTTTTAGATTTTTGATGCAATAATATTTGAAAGGTTGTCCATTTGTTTATGTTTTTTTCAATCTTATTTGCATGAGATATTCCAATTTGATTTTCCCTAGTTTGGTGAAGTTGTGTTCATTTGGAGAGAATGATTAGGAAAGAGAAGAGATTAAGAAAAGAGAGATGGGAGAAAATGAATTAGTAAATTTTTCCTTGTTTTAGTTGAGAACAAAGAAAATAAGAGTTGAGGGGAAAATATATTTATTTTGTTGTTCCTCGAGTATTGTTTGTACCTAAATTAAATTGAATTCCCTCCAAATTTGTGTTCAATAACACGTGGGAATAATATTTAATAACTTTCTCAATTATTTTTTTCTCTTTTCGTTTCCTTCCTACCGAACAAAGCATAACATTGTTGAGTATTGTTGTCGCAGGAAATTTCTGCCCTGAGATGGAACCGTTCTGGAGAAAAGATTCCTTGATAGATAAAAATGAAATTTGCCTGTGTTTAATTCTAGTAACTTGAAGAACCAATTTATGTTGTGAATGCACAACTGTCCAAAGTAAAAGAGAGAATTGTGTTGGGAATATAAGTTACGATCACGAGTTTGTTGGTTTGGATAGTATATGTATTTGTTGGATTATATATTTATGGATTTTTATTTTGTTTGATATGTACAGTTAATAGTTAAGTTTTGTATGCGGTTGAAACTTGAATTGTACAAGTTGTGGAAAAATATTTTTATTGAATGGTTAAGAATTGAATGAATAAATGAATAATTTTGTAAACGCATAGGTTATAGATGGCACAAAAAATATTACAGAATAAATTATAAAAACTAAATGAGACATTTTGGTGACTAAACAAATGTCACAGGTTGGCTTTTGGCTACTAAAATTTTAGTCGCCAATTGTAAAAAAGTGAAACTTTTGGCTACTAAACTGTTAGTCACCAATTGTAAAAAAGTGAATTTTTTGGCTACTAACTGTTAGTCGCCAATTGTAAAAAAAAAAACTTTTGGCTACTAAAATTTTAGTCGCCAATTCTCAAAAAGTAAAATTTTTGACTACTAAATAATTAGTCGCCAAACATACATGCTTAATTGGCTACTAAATAATTTAGTCGCTAAATTAAATATATTTATATATTTAATTTTTTTTAAAAAATATATGGCGACTAAAAAAAAAAAATGGCAACTAAGGCCTTAGTCGCCAATAGGCCACTTTTGGCTACCAAAAAAATTTTAGTCACCAATTGTTTCCCGACAAACTATAGGCGACCAAATGGGCGACCAAATATATTAGTCGGCAAAAGTAATTGGCGACAAAAAACAAGGCTTTTGGTAACTAAAATTTTAGTCGCCAAAAGTGAAATTTCTTGTAGTGATATGTCGTAATTGCATATTTGCGACTAAGAATAATCTAGAAGGGTTATGAGTTAGGTTGGATTGAAATTTTGTATCATTTGTCCAATTGATTATATAGTTTCAATCACATTTGTGCACTATGATAATGTGAATTATTATCTTAATTAAAAATAACATTTTTAAAAAAATAGACATTTACACATAAGTTTTAATCTATGAACTTATATTCCATTAAGTCTTAATTAAGATTTTTTTTACCTTCAAGTCCTACTAAATTTTTAATACCCAAAATTACTCTTCAAACAATGATGGTTTATCATTTATGATTAACTATTAAGGAACATGATAATTTGACATTTATTTTGATTTTCAAAACTTTAAAACGTTAACTTTCAAATTTAAAAAATTACAATAAAAAAAAATTATGTGCAAAAATAATAATAATAATAAACTTGTTTAATTTTGGTTTCCAGAAAACACTTTTCAGGAAATTTTACTTTTTTTTTTCTTTTTTTTTCTTCCAATGAATTTTTTTAATATTTTAAGCATTTTTTTTAAGTTTTAGACGCGCCTAACATAAATACACTTAAAAAGTATAATATTTGTGAAAAAAAATCTTTCAAAATTTACTAAATACCAAAAATACAACCGAAACAAAAAATGAAAATTCAGTATATTTTTCTTATTTTTGTGTATTTATTAATTTTTAAAATATTTTTTTACAAATATTTTACTATGTAGATACATCTAAGTAAGGTGCATTTAAAAAAGTAAAAAAAAAATTGCTAAAATTTTAAAAATATTCACTAAAAATAAAAAAATACGAAAAACAAAAAAACTCAATTTCCAGAAAACTGAAACCAAACAGTGTAAATAAAATAAATAGAAACAAAACCAAATAAATAAATAATTAACGTACCGAATTTATTTATTGAACCGAATTAAAAGAAAATTCAAAGACCAAGTCGAGTGTGTGACACTCTGTCCTTAAGACAGATTCACCCCGCTACGGTGCTTACGGTTGAATGGCGTCTATCTTCACGGATACAATGATCTTCACAAATTTGTAGAAGCACTTCAAACAAATTTGTTCGGCGAACCAAACCTGTGTTCTATACACTCTTTATTTTTTCCTAAAATTATATATGAAAAATAAATGCACTAGAGCAAAATGGACAACAATGAGACAATTTCCAGACTGATTTTCGAATGGTTTGGACGGCAGGAAATGGATCTATATATAGGCACAAAAGGTGACCAAAAATCTGTCCGAACAGGTATATATACTACCGAACAGATGTGACATTGTTTTGAATAGATTTAGTTCAAATTTTTGAATAGATCTACAACCTAATTGAATCTGTAATTGCTGGCAGTTACAACTGTAAACTGTTGGCAGTTTTTTCAGCAGTTAAAAACCTGTTAAACAGTTTGGGAAAGAATGGAACTTGGAGACACAATTATTGGACAAGAAATTTGAATTTCAAATTTAAATTAAATTCCTGCAATAATTTTTTGAAATAAATTCAAAAGAATTTTGTCCAAAAAATTAATACAAGAACCGACCCGACCCACACTCGCGCCCGGCACGGCTCGGGCCGGCCTGACGGACGGCGGCGGTGGCGCGCTCGTGCGTGGTGGTTTGGGCTAAGATTCACTTTGTCCATAACTCCGTCCTTCTACAAACTTGGGGTGCCCCTTGGGGCCCAACCCAAGTATTGTAGGCTAAAGCTTATATACTCAACAAAACTCTCTTAAAGTTTCAATGTGGAACAAGCCTCACAAGGAAACCCACATTTAAAACTTAAATGTTCAATTCCATGAACCCGAAAATGACGTCACGTCCCCATTCACTCATAAATGGTTTTGACGAATCGTCTTCACCGTGTGACTTGCCACGTGGCAAGGAACACTTCATGTGACAACCCTCACCACTGTTTAGTGCTAAACTATGATTAAGCATGATAAGTGACTGATTAAACTGAAATTCTGAACTGATTGCATGAGTGTATTGTTTAGATATATTTCTATCTGTTTGACTGCTAAATGATCTGTTCGTGTTTTAATTTCGAACTGTAAATTGAAGGCCTTATCGGCGGCCGAATCTGAAATTGAATGGTATTTTATGCTAATTAGAGTTTGAGTGATTTTATGGTAGATTTAATTGAAATTTGATTTGGTAAGATTAAGTAAAGTTAAATCTTATTAGTTTAAGTTTTTACCAAAATGCCACTTAGTGGACTATTCCATGAGCCATTTATTTGATTTATATATGTTGGCATTATCACAACTCTTCGGCCATTTTCCTCAAGTCCAAAACTGAGTGAGTGAGAGAGGGAGAGTAGGAGAATTGATTTCAACAAGTTTTGGCTAGGAAAATTTGAAGAATTGAAGAGGTTTTACAAATTAGGCTCCTACACCTTAACATTCAAGACCTAAGGTAAGAACTCATCTTCTTGATTATGAGTTTAAGTTGTGTCTGGCATGGTCTAGGATGATATTGAAGTCTAGAGCCAAGATATGGCTTAAAATGTTGAATTGAGTAGTAATCCATGCATGCATGTACACATTAGTGTGTTTTGTGGTTGTTTTCATGGGAATTCTTACATGCATGTCTATATTCTAGCTATGGTCCATGAATTCATCACGTTTTCGAGTGAATTGACTCATTTGATCAAGTATTTGAAGTTTTGATTTCAATTGAACACTTGCATGTTACATATACATTATGTTTATGAAGTTTTGTTGGATTTGTGTTTAATTGAACTACCTTTGGGCTTTGGTTTTGTAAATTGATCTTTGAAACATGTCATATTATGGGTTTTAATGTGTTTTCCAGAAAATTGGCCCAAAATGATCGAATTTGAAGCTTTAAAAATTGAGTTTTGTGCTTGGAGACGAATCTGGAAATTCCAGATTTTGGATCCACGCTCGAGCGGGGAGCTCCACGCTCGAGCGTACACTCTGAGTTCATGCAGTCCGCTCGAGTGGGAAAAGTAACGCTCGAGCGTGAAATGCGTGTATCCAGTACTTTTCATATGTTTACAGTCCACTCGAGCGAGGGAATGCACGCTCGAGCGAGGACTTGTGTCTCACGCTCGAGCGGAGGTCGAGCGCCCATCGAGTGTGAATTGCATGCATCCAGTACTTTTGCTTGAGTTTACAGCCTACTCGAGCGAAGGAAGTCACGCTCGAGCGGAGATCCTTTGTCTACATGTCCGCTTGAGCGTAGAAAGCCATGCTCGAGCGGGACCCCTATTTTCTGAAAAATTTGAAAAGTGTTTTAAAGTGCATCTTTGCATCCTCATTCCATCCTAGGCATTCCTAGGCCATGTTTAAGGCATCTTAATGAGGATATTGATGTAAAACCACACCAAGTCAAGATAAGGACTAAGTCATTGATTCCCAAGTGGGTAACTTAGTGTGTGTTCATTCTGTAACTGTGTAGGGTTGGCATCCGAGGACGCTCACTAGCCTCTCTGTAGCCCAGTACTCTGTGAGTAACAATGTTGTAAAGATATGTTCAATCATGAATATTTTCTGAATGACCTAATGTACTGCTTTCTGAAATGATATTTCTCACTGAATAAATGTTTGTCCTATTTGTGAACTGAATTCGTGGCATCCATAGCAATCTGCTGTTACTGAACTGTTACTGCTACTATTACAGAGATCTCTGTTGGTTCCCATGTTTGGAACCACTACTGTTTACTGTTATGATGGCCATCAACTGACTGTTCGATCTATTAAAACCTATTGTACTGTTTTGCTCTTGGATGTACCACATATAATTGCGATGGTTTCTAAGTGACTGATATGACTGCTTATTGACTGAAAGGACATTCATTCTTAACCTCTTTACATAACTGTTATTCACTGGGTTTTAGCTCACTGTTTATATACATATGTAGGTGTCCAGGCATTGGACCGATGCTAGGAGCGTCAGGCTAAGCTCCCGTTTTGTGAAAGCCAACCATTGTGCCTCACTTCGAGGTTCCGAGTGCGTCAAGCCAAGGCTATTTTAGGGTGTTTTAGATTTCCCCTTTTGCCTTTGTTCTGTAATAAATGTTAAGACTGGCACTATACTGTTATGGTAGGGACTTGGTCCCTAACCTGAATGTCTGTATATGTTGTATGTATATATGTTTTGCTTATGGAAGTGAATATGTTCGGAAAAGTCTTTTTGGATACAGAATGTCATAGCTCAATGGACATCTTTTATTACTGTTTTGGCTTCTGCCAACCCCTGTACTCTGTATTACTGTCTTTACTGTTAAGCAGGCCTTCGGTAATCTCGGATTACTGGC